CGTGCCCATACAATTCACCGTTAATGATGTGTTTGTGTCGATTAGGTGGCACTGAATGTCCTTTCAATGAGGTGTCGGCCACTTTGCATCGTAGCCTCTTCGCATGTCTAATAGCATTTTCATTGGAGCTGGAGCTGGAGCTGACCGGAAGCTGGACGATGCGTGTCGTACGAGTACGTCAACTAAATGAGTCAACTCACGCACACATGTGACCTGAGTGAACGCAATAAATGAGGCGTGGGTGGCGTGAGTTGGAGTCGGGCCACGAGTGCGTGTCGCCTGTCTTAACGCCGCTTGAAGAGGCTATCACTATCGGTTTTTGCGTTCTCCGAGCCCAGAGTCTGGGAACATGGACATCTTGGGTGTGAATTATTGGCCCATTTCAAGTGGGCATTAATTAGTTGTTCAAACCAAAATAAAACCACCAACAACCATATCTTCAATTTCAATACATACATACATACATACATACATACCGGGGTATATGCCCATTGTTTACAGTGTTTCGGTATATCGCAATCTTTTTCGTACAGAATAAATATCACTCTTTTGGAGAAAACATTGAATATCCGAGGAAATACGGAAAGTTGTTGTATTAGGTAAAATATCCCTGAACCAAAGCGATCATGAGTTCGGAGACATTTATGGTAGCCCTGCTAATTGCAGATTAACTATGACAAATAACTAACCCAAACGCTCTCTGTYTCGCTAAGGACACTTACGAAATGATAGTTACGAATACCTTCTAACTATATCAGTACTTAGCCCACTGTGTAGATAATACGAACGAACGAGAAACGAACTTCCTACGTTTTTCAATGTAATGTTCATTCTATTGGCGCACTTTTCCCGTTATTCACCTTTTAATCGCGCAAAATGTGAACGTTTATRGTGTGGATTTAATGAAATGTTTTTTTATGTTGGCAGGTGAAAGACAATATTTGTACGGTAACCATGTATGTTGGACTAGGTAAAAATTACCAAGGGGTTGATAGAAAATATACTTCTTATTGATTTTGGCTGGGTTCAGGAGATACAGGTCTGCGTACTACATTTGTATTTCAAACAGACCTTTCTGGCCTCCCCTGGGATCCAAGAAGTAAGAATAACCACAGCACTCTGGCCAATAATAACACCAATGCTTGATTTGACTTAGTGCCAAAGCAGTGTATGATCGAATCAATCGAGCAAGAAGCTTATCAACCAGAAAGGAAAGCAATATATATCATTAAACACTATAATTCATACGTCGAAAAAAAAACTCCGAACTGGTATATTGCTCCCCTCCACGTCCTTGTTATTCCCTATGTCAAAATTATGTACATAAGCCCTTCGACAAGCTCCAAGTTGGTAAAGCAGGTGTGTCCACTTTGTCTATCACTCAATGGCAACTCAAATAARTGGACTTATAAGCATTTTTACGACTTTCAGCCTAAAAGGTGCTCGTTTTTAACATAGGGTTGACTATTTGTTGAAATAATCTAAAAAATGCGCACATTTCCATGAATTTAGGTGACAGTACATCACATATGTACATAAGTTGTGTGTGATGCACACAGATTTTCCTTGCGGTGGAGGGGCAATATGGGCAATCATAAAGTCAAGTGGTGGCCATAAATATAACGAGCGACACATGTCGCCCCGGCATGCCGAGGACAACTCGGCTGCACGTAAATAAGAAGTTTGTTACTTTTATCATACATAATGCATGTACTCATGGACATTCGAACATACGCTGGACGTATGTGTGTGTGTGTTTGAATTTATGAAAGCAAATAATAAAGATAACGCTAAAGCTAGTTACRATGGCGAGCTGTGTACCATATTTGGGGGAATTGCTGGTTAGWTACTTAGTTGGTAGCCACGGCCAACTCCCTGGCGTATGCCGTGGTTCTCTGCGTTAGTTGTGGATGTCATAAATCTTTATTGAACTTGTCACTATTGATTTGGATTTTTAGCTACCAGCATGTATGATGCACCGTTAAGAGGGCGAGSGAAGTCGGCAGACGTGTGGGGTTCACTGGAATTAAATAATGTCATGTGTCATAATGCCCGGTAGTATAGTCATACTTCACTACACTTCCACATGCATGTATATGTGTATGTGTGTATCGCATAATTGGAAGTGTCTGTATGAGCCTAAGTACAGAGAATTAAACACCGATGTCCTCCATGTAAACCACACGAAACTATATTTTTGTACATACAGACATTCGTATGTACTCGTATGCTCGAATGTCTAATGCATCTGCTAGTTTCCTCCCGACGCCTCTTATCAGTTTGCCATGCGAAGTGAAATGAGAAATTACTCTTGTCGACTTTTTGCATTTTTCTACCATGTCCAGATTGTTTTGCTTTTCATAAATCACTGATGAATTACATCTACATACGAAATTGCCAAACTAAAACAAACAGAGTAGGACTTTGCAAGTCTATTGTTATTGAAACCCTGTCGGAAATCCGCGATATGCGGAAGCTTAGCAACAAAGAACTGKAATATCAACAAAAATACATCTAAAAGTATATTTTGATCAGGTTATGGAAGTCTGTATCTCTTTCTAGTTATGCTATGACATTCCCACATATTCTATTTGAAAATCGACGACATTCGAAATTGCTTTCTCAATTCTCAAAAGCKTTATAAAATTATCTGTCTTTGTCTAAAATATTATTCGGTTTTACCATTTTCATCTTTAAAATTTCTTCAGCTGTTTATGGTGGTGGTGAACCACGGGACATCTCTACTGGCCACATATTTTTCACACATWCATTCCTACAAGAATGTGCATGTGAATGTGAATGTGTGAGTAGATACACTAATACACTGTATACATATGTATGTATATAGATCCAAACACGRTGCGAACATAAATATTAAACGAACTTACCTCCCAACTACCTTTTGCTTTTGTTATTGACTTCTGCGTTTGGCTGACTATATTTGGTTGCTGTGAAATTTATCATTCATTCCGGGCAAGTTTGTTAATTATTTATGTTCTCATTTTTGCACTGAGACTTAATTTTGAATCAAACACATAATTCGCCTCGTAAGCTYGTTATGTTCTTAGTGAAGTTTGGTGATATATGACCGAAARCAGAACTGGRCTTATCTTCGATTTCGTTTTGTGASAATTGCAAGGGACGGACCACTTCTGTGACGGAGTTCGCAACAAAAGCAAGAGAGAGTCGTTTGAGGTTCAAATAGTATCTTGATCCCTTTCTGTCTCTCTCGCAACATTTTATTAAAGGCAATTGTAGTATTGTTAACCTAATGGTTGTTTGGAACACCTAAAGACACTCCATATACATAAACATCAATGATCAGAATGACATCTCTGCAGCTGAGAGTTTGAGTAAAAAGTGGCTGCCGTGAAATCTTGGTATACGTGTTCCGAAGGGAGATTAGTATTGTAGATAAAATTTCACCTAGGGGTTTTAAATGGGGGCAATGCAAAAATTGGCCAAACTTCGCGCTACCACCCAATTTTAGATGAAATCCTAAACCTCAGGAACCGTACCCTTAGCCCCCACATACTCAATGTAATAATTGAAAAATTTGGGTTGCCTCGAACCAAATGCAAGTTATTCGTTATTAGCAAAATGCTATTTCTTTGTATATTATAGGTCATTGCCGAAAATGTGTGGAATCGGTCGAAGAAGATATATAAATCAAACTTCAACTTATTTTTTTATATTTAATAATAAGCTTTAATGAACCAAATATATACCATTTTTGTCGACCACTTTTTGCRATTTTTCTGCTGGAGGCATTAAGTTATTCCATCAGTGTAAAACGTTTTTGGTTTTTCGGTGGTTTTTTTAAATTAAACTATCTAACTGACTCTATTAGAGTATTTCCTCGGTTTTGATCCTTGAAATTTACGAGTGCATAAAATCTTAGGTTACATCCGAACTTAACGCTTCCTTAGTTGTTAAAATATCACGCCTTGCGAACAACCCATATAACTACATATATAGGGTGTATTTAGAAACATACTAAGTTTAGTTAAGTTCATTAAGAAGTAAATGAAAAATCGAGTTTAGGTCATGTGAATGGTCAGAATAACTTATACATAATCTCAGGCACCCCAATATTCTGCCACAAATATATAGTGATATGAAAGTTCCGATTTAAGATGACCGTATCGGTTGAAAGCGGTTAATAGTTGGCTTATACCCACGAGTTACAACAGCTGTAAGGCATTTGTTGTCTCGTCTCCATATGCGACGAGTCATTACCGAATAATTATGGAGTTTAATTACACGTAAATACTAAGCCAAACACGAAGAGTCTTCACTCATTGCGAGGAATAGTTTTTTCGTTCTATCAGAAATAACGGTGAAAAAGGTCATAAATGTCAAGCGATGTTATTTAATGCTGTTGTAGTAACACCCACCTTTGTGCCGGGTTGTTTTATTGTGTCTTCAGTAATGTACAACATATAAGTACYGTTTCGTGCACACAGGCAAGCACTCTACAAACACATAGCATTGGCGGCCGATGAGCACCAAACTTCAATTTGCACAAAAAGAAATAAATCTTGAAAGGTTCGTTGAGCCGCCTCGTTATTTGTGCATTGTTTCGCTATTTACGACAACACCTCAGCACATTGTTATCATAGAAGTTTCGAAGTGCGCACTCTAAGCGCTTTGTTTGTCGTGTGTCACAATGTCGCTGGGTCCATTGATTCTCATTAACAAGCAAGCCACGCCAACTAAATTTCAGACTTGCGTGTTTTCATGCGAAGGACCACCTCCTACGCTCATTACAGTCGACCCTTCGTGTTTGCGTTAAATGAACGGGAGTATGGAAAATGTCCCAGAAGACTCTTATGCTCCGGAAATTTGTCAAATGTGAAAAGAAAAAATCCACACCAACAATAATTAGAACTTTCGGCGCAAAGAAAGACTTAAGAGATGGCGGCCGTAACTGAGTTATTGGTTTTCCATTAGGGTTGCCAGATGTTTCACTTTGTTAGTCAAATATACCAAGAAATATCTTCGTTTAATCARTCAARTGACACATTTCTTTTTTATTTTCTACTATAAATTTTACAATTCACAGACAATTTTAGTATGGTAAACTAACTTAACGCGAWTTCGCTCAAACGCTTGCTGGACAGCGCTGCTCTATCGACGGCGTGAGGCCGAGCGACTCCGTGCCCGTAAATATCCATGGTCGTCAACCGACTGTCTTCGGTGGAAACCGCTGCAGTCGCTGTTACACTTATGGGACCATCTATGTCGGTGTTTTTCGTAGACGTTTTCTTCTCCTTCTTCTTCATCGCTGAGAATATCCCTKGTGTTTTTATCTTTACGATCCTTTTCGCATTTATTATATTTTTTTGATTTCGAAACCTTTCGCGATGGCATGTGTGGATTAGCCGCCCTTGAATCTGTGCYCTTTTTGGATTTGGGCTCAGAGGGTACATCTCCACTGTCAATACTCTCTATGCTTTCCGCACTATCGACTTCATCATCCTCATCCATTTCGGAGCTCTCATCCAAAGCATCAACAGCGTCGCAAACYCGATAATAAAATTCATTGTGCTTCTGCACAAACCCGTACCGCACTCCACCATTCAATACCTCCTCGACAAGTTTCTTCACTTTATCTTCCGACAGCGAACTAACTTCGGCTACGTAGCGCACGATTTCGTCCAAGGTCACAGGCTCCTTAAACTCGGCAAGCGCCTCCAAAACTTCTTTTCCCTTAATGGCCTTCGGCATATTGAATTTAGATATGTACGTTGATTTTTTTTTTATTTCCTCGATAACTTATATTTTAATATTACAAGAATTTTTTCTTTAGACTTTTTTTTTTGTAATTTTCATGTAAACTGGTGACAACAAATTACATACTATTTGATTATTCATTTTTTCACTGGTACTCAAGACTCAAGGTGGAAATTACTTGGCAACTCTCGTCTCAAGTGGATTTGGTGGAGTGTAGCTGAGCTTAAACAATAGTCCGTAATGGGACAAAGTTTACTCAGTTTGACAATGATTAGCTGCCCGACGCCTCCTTCTGCTGCAGCCTGAGCACAATACAACAGAATGGAAGCTGAAACTATAAAACGAAGCATTATCGTCAAGGTCGATGTCCTAACGGAGTACTTACAACACACGAACACTTTATTCCTGCAGCTTGGAAATGTACTTACAGAGACCTCCCCTAGTAAGATTTACAAGTAGAAAGCTTTTACGTCATTAATCTCGGAACTCGCCATAAAACAAAAGCAATTATTCGTGTCGTGCCCTCATCGAGAGCCGAGGATCTCATAAGGTGCCGCAGCTACATTTATTTCACTACTCAGCTACACACACTTGCACACTTATGGCCTTGCACTTTCGTTTGTAAGTGTTACGACAACTAATTTTTTATTTCGSATTCGTCGGCGCTATTAATTCTGTTGTTTTATTAGGTAGCGAAGTAATTGGAGAAAACGGTAGCAAAATGCATACCTTTTCCAGGGCATGCCGATTTTAATTGCTCCCTTTCGTACTCTTAACACATTGGCAGTCCTCGTAAACAGCGAAGACCTTTAATTGTATTGCCAATATGTGTTTCGGAAGATTTACTCATTACAGCAGACATATATATACACATGTGTTATATAATTTATTCCATATGTATTATATCCTCATTTTTACGTACGCGTTCGATTCGTCAACTGTGTAAAATTAATTATGRAAAATGGTTAAATCTATGCGCCTTTGGGAAGCAGCGTTTTCAATGACAAAAGCGCTGAATGGAGACGTGTCTAATAAAAATATAAAGCTCTAGGGTCACCTTCCATGACCGAAATTTTTGAGCAAATGCCTTTTACTATTTCATTAAGACTCCACCCTTCACGTATTTAATATTTAAAAAGCAACATTTTCATAATTTTTAAACACACATCCATTATTTTGCTTGGCTCTTGTTACCTCTTGCCRGCGGTGGCGAGTGAAATTATGTAATTTGCATTAATTTAATATTAGCCTTTGGGGTAAAAAATGTCCCCATTGAACTCTTGCAGGAGTGCGTATGAAACTTTCAACGCCGCTAACGTTGAAGGAGCTTAAAAGCCGACAACAACAACAACAGCGAACAACAAAAATTGAATGTGCTRCATAATTAGGCAGCAGCTACAACTCTTTCGCTTGACATATTAATTTGGCAACATTTTTGAACTTTCGCCCCAAGGGAAATCTTTGAAAAGTAAACACGAAAAGCAGCTAAGAAAACATATCCAGATGAAAAGGAAAGTGAGTGAGAAAGTGAGTTGTGTACAAGGAAGACCCTTTTTAAATACGCAGGCTCGTACATTGTACTTCGCAATGCGCACCTGAAATGTTTTGATAATTATTTTTGTCGTATCCGTTTCTGGTCTGTTCGGTGCTTTGTTCGCGTTTCTGTGAAAAAATTGTGGAAATAATTAAAATTTACATTTTTCTACATACATAGATTATACACTTGTTTTTTTTTCTGTTTGTTTTTGTTTGTGCTCTCTACACATGTGCSACTGGACCAATTTAAAGAGCTGTTTGGGAATGCGTGAGCGAAAAGCGCGACTTGAAAATGTTACACGTTGTGAAGTGTGACTACCGACCAATGGATGAAGGAATTAAGGTCGCATTCACCGATCATGAATCACGCCAGGTTCAGAAAAAGCCAACAAATTCATAAGATTAAGGTTATGTTGAGGCGAGAGTRGATCTTGAGAAGTAAGATACTGAACGAAATCGTTGTGCCAGTAATCCTATGATCATCTAGCCGCCGGAAAAACGTTACGCTCACATTATTTTGCTCATCTTCATGACTCAGGCGAGAGAATAAAGATGAACGAATTACAAATACAAATGCAACAATTGAGCATTAACTATACCGATACTATAACAACAATTCTTCAAGCAACTCACGACTTCTGGTCTGTGACCAAGTATCTCCTGGGTAGCCAGTAAACAGCCCTTTGAAGACGAGCAAAAGTGAGAAGGCGAAACATCCTCTCCACAGGGTTCTGCGGTTTGGGACCCGTCACGTAAAAAACACTACCAATGAAGAAGCACAAACAGCCTCGGATAATAACAATTAAGTTTAGTTAGAACTAAATTTGATATAAAATTAAGAACGAATGAAAGAAAGTGGAAAACCGACTCCTAAACAAGGCTCCTGCATCAATCTTAAGGGTTTTCATTTGAAGTAAAACCAAGCTAAATTCATGATTATCCTAATAAATGGGTGAAATATCTCAAGAATGTATGTGTCCCTTATTTAATTTCCATTTTATTTAGTAGACATCTTGTCTTAAAATGAAATGTACTCACCGCAGCAATTTCCTTGGCAGGAACCTGGCCGACTTTACTACGTTTTATATGCCACGGAAATGAAATGGCATTTTATTAAGACATGCATGCGTTGACATGCAGACACTTAACGGCGACTTAATATTTGGCTTTCGGGCACATTCTTSCCAAAATGAATTTAATTAGTCAAAATTAACCATAAATAGTTTACAAGCCTAACAATATCAACAAGCATTAAGGTAATTGCCAACATTATTATTACTGAGCACACAAATCATAAGACCCACCTCCGTACAACTGGAAAACGTTTAGTAATTTCCCAGCGGCGCTGAATGTCTTTATCTCATAAAAGTTTAAAGTCACTYATTTACCACAGATCTCGACCATTATTGGAACCGCAAATGCACACCGAACCAAAGGCAAACTAACATTTGAACGACAAACGCCTAGAGGCCATTAAATTTTCCACTAGAAGTTCACTCACACGCTCCCTGAGTGTGGCGAACCAGCACTGCTCACTTGTTTCGAACTTCAAACTGTGCGGCCGGTCACACAAAGCTAGCGGCTGAGACACATTCACATTCGTAAGTTCACTACGAGCAGGTTGAAAATCACGTAAGGCAGCGCGCTTCAGATCCGTCCGCGGTTTGGGGGATGGCGGGGGACCTTCTAAATCTTTGGGTAAACCTTTCGAGCAAACACTCACGCAACCGAACGCTCACACCATATGTGAGTAGGAATGCTGAAACGTGTGTTGGAAGCTTCACGTGCTTGTGTCTTCGCGTTCAAGGGGTGCCGGAGGACCTGGATCAAATTGGCTGAAGCACGCATCAAAAGCCGCATTCAATGTACGCTGATTTTTTGTTAAGAGTTGTTGGCCCAAGAAAATGCGGTTGCGATTGAGATTCTTTAATGTTTTCTTTGTGGCGAAGGGTATGAGGAAATAATATTTTTAAGTGAATTTAATCCTGTAAGGTTATGTCAAAGGAGACCCCAATACACTTGTACCAATGGATATCTGTATGTAGTAATGCCTTTTGTGCTTGTTTGTAAATAGCAGGTTGCGTGGAAGGTGAAAAGAATTTTTCCGCTCACTTTAACAAAACAAACACGTAGTTCGGATTGGAAAACGTTCAGCCACCTACATCTCTTCCCTTCCGCAGCCACACACAAGCATATGTTGACACATCCTCTGTTTATTAGCGGTACATATTTCGGTAACTCGCTTTTCCAGAAGCAATCAATGTTAAGTGTCGTTATACCGGTGGTTTTTGCTGTTATCTGAACTCACACCAACCACTCACCGAGTGTTAGTGCTGAATTCAACTTTCTYGCTACGGCGGCCACCTATAAGATTTGATTTTATTTCTCTTCCAGCTCCATTATTTCTTTGCTTCAAATAGCGGTTCAGTTCCTGTCCACCAGCTTCCTGGCATTTTGTCATCATTATGCCACTAAAAGCGTCTGTCATCRTACCGTCTACTGCAAACTTGTCYGACTCCTTCYCTAACGGAGTTAATTAAATGTCAGTCGCAAAAAGAMGAGCGTTGTATGGCTTATAAATCACTGTCCAATTTTCGCAGTGAAGCGATGACTAAACTAAAAATTTGCTGCGTCACAAACCACTTTGAAAGTTCATAATGCAAAGAAATCGCGTAAAATTAGGAGAAAATAACGAATTGAAGATTCTGTCATAATTGGTTTCCCAAACCACAGAACCTACTTGAAGATTCACCTTTAGTTTACGACACATTAGTCAAAAATACTAAAACTGAAATTTACCGAAGATTAGAGCTTTTATGAGCTTTTCGTATTGAAATTACATACAAGTATTAACATTGTTGCTCTAACAATCCGCTTAAGTAATACACAAGTACATCAAATACAGAACACTAGCCGAGGAACTGAAACATTCACTCTCTCTAACARGAAAGAAAATTAGATTATTTTTTCTATTTTAATTATTCTGAGGTCGCAACTAAAAGAAAACTATTTCTTATGGATTAGAGTATAATTCTTCACWTACTTTTGGATCATTCCTAGGTCTATCACATCATCGAGAAATGTTTGCAGTTTTGATGACTACGGATACAATCTGACTATATGTATGTAACACCATAAAATCTTAACATATCGTACCAAGTGATCGGCAGCCACACTAGATGAAAACTTTCCACACATCAATTATCACAATCTCATTCGAACCTTCTACATGACGCTACTTTTTAAAGTTTTTGAGTTCATTATTGGTTCAAAAAGGAAGGCAGAAACAATAAACACAAAGGAAAACGAACACCCCACCCCTCACTCCATTATGCACAAAAGGGGATACAGTATACTAACAGCTTCCCAACTGTCTACAGTTTACATATTATGCTTACTCYGTTCCGACCATCCAGTGTCTTCGTCTACCCTGCTAACGCAAAAGTATAGATCTAATCCAACTTACACAAATATTACCAATTCCTTATGAATATGGTCTTAAATAGTAAAAAAACCCTAATTATTCTCTGATACCCTCGATTACCATGTGTTCCTACTCCACCAACGGGAATTT